TACCAGAAGTACTGTGAGATGATCGAGTCAAAGCTTTCAAGGGGAAGTCCAGAAGACAAGCACCGATGTATTCAATAAGTCGAGTCTGAGGTCTACAATGTAGTTACGGCGGACTTATATATGTAATCGAATGAGTGTCTAAAGATAAGATAACACGGAGTCATGTGGGCCTGAATATACGAAAGCAGAGGGCGTAAAGCCTGGCTTCTGATAGGGAATTAAGTAAGTGTCCAGTTGTAGAGATAAGAGATAAAAGATAACGGATAAGAGGCCAATCAAGAGCACAGTAATACAAACAAAGACAAAGGCAATCATGGGGAGGGAAGCAGGGCATGTGATGGGTCCCAGGAAGGAGACGTGATCAAGAAATGTAGAGTAGGGGGACAGGCAGGGTTGTCACTGGGGATTGTGAAGAAAAGTGGGTTGCTAGGCAGGGGTCATAACAAATTGGGCAGATAGTGGATTTAAAATGTGGGTCAAAAAACTGTCCTGATAATTGATTGATTTGATTTGATCATAAAATGCTTATATCAAGGCCAAATTCTTTGATCCAAATTGGGCATGGTAGCCAGGAAGCAGGGCTTTCAGACATACAGCCACACCATAACCAGATTCCTAAATGCTGAGGTGCTATAGAGTGAATACTAGAAATGGTGCAAACATCAGGACAGTTTTTTGACCCACTGTATATATGGTTACCTTTGTTCTTTACTTAGACAGGTATTGGGTCAAAAGACTGTCCTGATGTTTGCACCATTTCTAGTATTCACTTTATAGCACCTCAGCAATTAGTATATGGGTAACATGTGGCAGTATGTCTGAAAGCCCTGCATCCTGACTATCATGTGTTAGGCTGAGTCAGTGACATCAGGGGACCTGGTATAATTTTCACTCCTTTGCTCCACTGCACTCATACCTCACCCTTCCCTAGCATGACCTGCTTTTTCCCTCTTGGGTTTTCCATCCTAATTACCCATTTACTAGCCTTTCTGTCCACACAGTAGTTACTATGTACCAGTAGTAGCCACGAAATTTGGGCACAGCCCTAAAGTGCGAATAAACTCGATTCAAAAAAAAAAAGACTTGTAGCTGCGCTACTTAAGCGAGTCCTTGACGCGCATAATAAATTTGATGTTTTCCTCATGATCACATGACCCCTAGCCTCTTACAACGTCACGTTCGACGCTCACTGCCACCACCACATACAACAGATGTCGTATTAAATTGAGGGCTGATGGATGATATACACGTCACACACAGTGATTTCGCGCGATATCGCAGGATCAAACACTTCAGATCTTTGGCGGTGCGGGGCCCATTCGATATATTATCAGGTCCCGCCCAACTGCATACCTGAGCGCATCAGAATCGGATTTATATTTAGAGGGAGAGGGGGGGGGGGGACCCGGACGACGGCCGCCGACGTTGCATGCTAGCGGCGGCCACCCACGTAGCAGGATCCCCAAAAATCGCCTCTCTCTCTCTCTCTCTCGGAGAGAGAAAACGACATTGTGATCTCACATGACACGGTAGACGTAGAAGTGTTTCTGTCCAACGTTGCACCGGGATCAATACTCGATAGCAGGCCAAAAAACCACCCGGCGCATGCCCGCCCTCTCTAAACCCTCTCTCTCTCGGAGCAGGGTTTTCTTTGTGTTGGTTGTCATGGCATGGCATGATCTTTCCAGTTGTCAATCGCAAGCACATGTATTCCCCCCTTCCCCCCCCCTTTCGTTCAAATCCGATATGGTCGATATTACATGGGAGAACAAGAAAAAAAAAAACAGGTAGCGTTTTTTTGTTGAGCCGCGAAACGATGCCTTGCATCGATCGTTTGAGAAGAATATTCAGGTATTCAGGGCAGGTATGTGTGTGCGTGTGTGCAGATCCCTCCAGATCTGAAACGAAATTCCTATTTTGCGTGATGTTTCTCTCCTCTCACAGCACGATTAGAGTAGAGGTATTTCGTTAGAATCTCTCTCCAACTTAACCCCGATGTAGCTCTTCGCACCGCGCCTTCCGTTTAAAACCTAAATATTTGAATAACTGCATAAGTGAGTGAGCAGAGAAAAACACAAGTTAACGACACGGCGTTGCCTGGGACAACTTGACCAATTCCATCACGGAGAGATGACGATGATGAAAGGGGCACACACACTTCACCTCAAGTCAAAACAATGTTCGTAAGTGCTACTCCTTAAGTCCATGGAATAAAACCGTCGTCCGCCCAAAAAACTACTACGAAAAAGTTCAGAAAGTGTATCAAAATCAAATTATTTTGCCTCCTAAAAAAATGTTCACCGAACTCCTCCACAACCAAACAAACAAAAAAAGGGGAAGATTGAAAATGAAATGAAATATATGAAAAAAAAGTGACCGTCCAAGTTTCGCGTCAATTCGTGATTAATTGGGGTTTTCTCATAACAATTGCATGCTAACAGTAGCGCCAGCTAGGGCCACACTAAACGCGCCTAGAAGGACTCCCAAGGCGGGGACTTGAGCGCCCATAAGTGCGCCGTTCGGCGATTTAGTCGGACCCAAGTTCGTGACAGAGCTTGTACGGCTCACAGCCGATGAACCGGACGTTCCACTAGCCGGGCTAGATGTCTGTGGCGAAGAGAGGGGCAGTGAGTTCAGAGATGCCCCAGACGATGCCGATAAGGGGGTGGAGGAAGAGGGGCTGACGTTGGACGGGGGAGCGGTAGCGGAGGAAATAGGGAGGGTGGAAGAGAAGGTGGAGATGGACAGTGGGAGAGAAGGGCCACCCACAGGAGATGAGGACGTGCTCGTAGACGTGTTCGCACTCTGCACCGCGAGGTTGTTACCGATTGACGATGTCGTGGTGCATGAGGACGTTGCAGGCGCTGGGTGCGCAGGAGGCGTGACTGGTTGACCTTGGAAGAACGTCGACGATCCGTACACTCCCATTGGCTAAAATCATCAGTCAGAATGATCAGAACAAAGATCATTTTGGGTAATAAAAAAAGAGGGAGATCCGGGGTGGATATAGTTAGAATTACCTCGCCAGTGTCCCCTGCGCATTTGTCAAAACCGTTCCCATAGTTCCCTGGCATATTCCAATCACAACCCATCACGTCGTAGATGTGCTGACACAACGCAGGCGCTCTCGGTCCATCCTTACATCCACGGAAGCAGAATTCTGAAGAGGAAACGAAATTCTGTTGAGGCGAGAAACAAGTTAGTGAAACGGAACGACAGAAGAAAGGGAAGAAGGACACACCGTCCATTCATGCAGCTGGGCGAACTGTCCCGTGAATGCATTAGAGAATACAAGGCCACCGATCGGGTTCCCTAAACCCAACCCTAAGCGAGGCGCACGCGTCTGTTAAGGTTAGGGCATGGCTCACCGTTACCGTCAGCACCGTGCGGGTCCAACTCTCCACCTGCATCACCGGCGGGGATATTTATCTTTGTCAAGTCGCCGATCCCTGGGAAAATGTGTGAGAGAAAATACAACAATACGAATGGAGGAAAAATGGTTTATACCTGTGATTTGTACGTAGTCCGGAGTCTGCACAAAATGCGCTCCTGAGATGGTGCCATCCGGGATGACACGTGTGCCGTAGCCAGACTGCGCGACACAGGTGTTCAAGCACCCAGTTGCATGAACGAAAAAATGATGTGAACCAAATACCTTGATACACCAGGCAACTTCAATCCGCTAGTTGTGTCATCGCATTAGCATATCCCACCTCCAAATTATCTAATGTATGGGTGTAAAAGTCCGAACAGAAACCCCACCTCTGTGTTCCCGATGACAGATCCAGGGCCAGGATCCGGTGGTGCAAAGATACACCAGTCATCGATCGAGTTGACTATACACCCCTCAGCTCAGACAGCGAAGACGAAGAGAGAAAGCGGGGCACGGCTTTCTTCACTTACGGTAGGCATTCTGGCACTGCGATGTCTGATTGGATCCTGTTCCACACTTGTTCGTGCCGGTCTGTCCTTGCTCGGACTGGTTCGGGGCGTTCGACGGCAGGTAAGTGGCCGAGTAGGTCTGCGCACGGACGCCTTGGAAGGCGAGCAGTGATAAGATCAAGACCACCGGGTTAGAAAGGCGGGCCATTGCCATTGGGAAGCGACGGAAAGGTAAGGCTCTTCAGGGGAGTCCGGTTGGGAGAGGAAAGAGGGGAAGGGGAGGGGGTTTCCACCATCCAATTTTGTAGGAAATATTCAAATCCCGTGGACACGGTGCGAGACCTTTACTAGTACTCATCTAGAAATGAAATGTTCCCATAGCATGGTTTCCGCATGTCTCTTACCCCCTCGAGCTAATCGTCGAAGCCGAAGCGGCGAGGTACAAGTGAGCCACGTGTTCGTGACTCGTGAACGGCTCAAGGGCGCGGCGCTCGAGAGACTAATAAGACCAATTCGGTACCGAGTATTACCATTAATGGGAAACCCCTTATACCATTATCATTACCGCCCTCGCGAGACGAGAAACACGAGGAACGAACGAGGTTTGCCATGGCCATGGCCTTACCGTTATAACCTATCTGATGACAAGGGACAAGCTATCGACGCGACGCATCAAATATTTTGCCGTGTAAGGTACGGGTACGGTACTATGTCGCACGTGATATAGTGCGGATGTGTCACGGAACGATCTGGGTTGGGCCAGGGCCGATACACCCGTATGTGTTGTATTGCTCCAGCGTTTTCGAGTTTCGAGTTATTTTGGGTCAGTCGTGTCTTCTACGCTTCCCAGAGGAAAGTGAACAGCTTGTCTTCCTGTCATACAGTCTTCTGTGCTGTGAACAGAAGAGGTGTTCTGCTTTTATGGGCAACTCTGTCCTTAAAACGCACTGGCGTCTGAATCCACCCCGAGGTTGCTAGCTGCTGACAAACCGCATCCAAATCCATATCGCCATTCTTCTTCATTTGAGCCAGACAAGGAAAAGAAAAAATAATAAAAGTAGAAAAGATGATGGGTGATAGATAGGGTCAAAAATTGGATTGCGTCGCAAAATAAATCATGTCCTCGGCCGGAGTCGAGCCGGCGGCTTGACGGTATTGCGATAATGAATACCACAACGTCATGATTTAACCACTAATCGACGAGGACGTTGTCCCTGCTTTCACACTGAACAGTACTGATGAATACTCACAGCCCGCTGACGCATTGCATAGCATAAGCTGTTTGCGCCTAGCGATCAGTGAAGGACGACCTGGTACTGCACACACTTCATAACTACCAGTAGTCCCAGAATGAATCAGGAATACCATCAATATATAATTGTATGTATTATGTGGCCTTCATGATCAATAGCATTATCATACACCTTGGGATACCAAAAAAATCATGAGGGGATAAGGCATAAAATCAAGATACAATCCTGGACAACCATAAATACCACACCATCTCACCAAGCCAGGAACCGTAGAAAGGTCGAAAGGAACTCCGATCTACCTTCCAAAGAAGGCGTCAAACGGGCCGGGAGGGAAATCACGACGCGTCCCACCACGCCCCCGCGAGGGTGGCAGCACCGGCGGCGGTGGCGGTGGCGGCCTCCGTGGGCTTGACTCGCCACGGGATTCCGCGACAAGACGGACAATACGCTTGAGGGAGAAGTTTTGAACAGGAGGTGTGCGTGCAGGATGCCGGCAAGAGGGGCAAGTGAATGCTGGCGAGGCCCTCGCGCTAAGTTGGATTTGTTGACTCAAGGTCGTGTTGAACCAATCTGTGAGACAGCCTTGGCAAAACGTGTGGCCGCAATTTGTTAGACTATGCATGAGGGTGCGGAATCAGCTTTGAGATGTTCTGGGTGGTGGGTGGTGGGCGTATTTAGGGATGGAGACGTACAAGTAAGGTGACCACATTGTGTGCGTGCAGATCTCACAACAAATGGCGTCGTCCAATGCAGAAATGCTCAGCTGTAGGAAAGAAAGAAAGAAAGAAAGAAAGAAAGAAAGAGGGACGGAGAGAAAGATGAGGATATGGTATACTTTAGCTGAGTGAAGAGATGCACTGACCGTGGTCTGCCTTGTACTCGCCTTCAACTGGGCCACAGCAGAGGACAAGCCCCTATTTTCTCTCTGCAACCTATCACGCTCCTGAGAATTGAATTTGAGAAATCAAAACATTTGATCGAAGACCAAGCCACCATTAGAAGAGCCCTACCTGTTCAAGCTCACGGTATCGTTGTTGCATGTTATCCGTTTCCGTCTCTTCGCGCTTGAGAGATTTGTCGTCCAGTATTTCGAGTATTTCTTCTGGTTTCGAGCGTCTAGACTTTCGTGAAGTGCGTTTTGGTGCTGATTTGGGCTTGTCTTCTTCATCAGAGGATATGACAATGATGGGCGCTTTTGGGGGACCTTGTGCACGGGAGCCATGGGAGCGAGTAGCAGATGGGTAACGATGTGCGGGCATGAATGTATGTGGCAATTGTGTTATCTGAGTCCTATGGGTGTGTAATAAAGCGGGATCGAGGTTGTTAAGGAGTGAGAAATTCAGGCTACTGATGGTTTATTGTTTTGTTCGGGTTAAAAAAGCAAAAGCAACAAAAGCCACAACTCAGGTCGGTGTCAGTGATCAGCTACGGTCCCGGGCCGGACATTCCCCGCTTCGTTCGTACTTCTTGCACTTGGCACTGGTGACGACACGGCCACGACGTCGTTTCGTGGCAAATGACTATTAATCATGACTGCCACAATCACAGCCATCAATTTACTTGTACAAGGGTTTATTAAACGAGTATAGTAGTATATAGTATTCGGAGTGGGCGATGTCGCTAAGGTGCGGCGCGCACAGTTATCCTGATGAGGTAAGTGCTGACCGACCTTTGTTTTGTTGCTTTTGACGGCTTTCCTTTTGACGGCTCAGTTCACGCGTTAATTTTCAAACCCAGTTCTCTATTATCACGACACGAACATGAATCTCGGGGACACGCCATGGAGAGTGAGGTGCCAGAAAGTGCAGTGCCAGGAAAACCCATGCAACTGGCTCAACAATAAGGCGCACCCTGGGTCGGTTGGCACCTCGTGTTGGGCAATGGCCTTTTCCAACAAACACGTGTGGTTACACTCGTAGACCTGACAGGACCCCCCCCCCCCCCCCCCCAAATTGATATTTATCATGTCCACACATCGAACCCATTTGGTCTGAGTGGCCCCCCCCCCACGCTTGTGGTTGGTTACCGTGCCCTTCTCGCTTGGTTCGCCACATGTGTTTCGCTTTGGAGTGCCAATATTACCGTGAGTCCATCATATAAAGCGTCGCCTTTTTTCTTGTCTCAGTTAACCTCTTCGATCACAGTCGCCGGCATGCTCGCCGTCCTGTGTTCTGCTCCCCGCCCATCGTTGGGCGTTGCCCTCCTCGGCCTCTTCATAACAATGTTGAACTGGGCACTCCACCTACTTCCTTACGTCTTGTTTTGCAGCATGATTGCTTTGTCGGTTTTGCCCCCCTTGCGCCCTCTCTTCCCCGAAGTGATGTACTATCCCGTCTACGGTCAACCCAATCAAGTCCATGTGGTCTATGCGTCTCCTCTTCCTTCGTCTACCAGTGAGACCCGATCTTTGAAACTTGGCGCAGTCATCCGCATCCTCGTTTTCCTCCTCGCTCTCCCCGTGTCATCGATAGCCGAGAATATTCTCTTCTTTCCTGTTCGCAATTTCTTTCTCCAGACTGTCGAGTGCTGGTTCGACATGCGCTACGTGCAGCCTGCCCAAGCGACAGGCATTTGGCCGGGCGTATGGACCCCCATCGTGAACGCACTTCGCTCATCCGAGTTTCTTGCAAAGTTTATAGATGGTCTTGTGGGCAAGGATTCCTGTGAGTCTTTGCAGACACGTATGGAACGAGCGCTTAGGTTCCAGCCTAAGCAGATCCGAGTACGGGTTACCCAAGGCAGATCCGCGATGTTGACATGCAACCTTCCCATTCGGACTCCGGACTGAAATATAGTGGCGTTCCTTTTCGGGCATATCCTACTGAACCGAGAACGTCCCCAGAGCGCGCGACAAATCCAGACCTTGTCACTGAAGATGAGCCAGAATAGTAAGTCGGTAGTTTTTTTCCGGGCTTACCGCCTCCTCATCTCGTCGTAGTTCTACTGGCGTTTCCCTTCGGAAGACCTTTATATCCCCCCCACGTGTTCCTTCGAGGTCGTCGTGGATGGGCAATAACACTGTGTATACCCTTTACTATACCTGCCCGCCTGGCGCTGACTCCTTAACAGAGGATCATCTCCTACCCCCAAAAACGTCTCTCGTGTGGTAGCGATACTCTTCCACCACCCGCCTCCTCGCAAGCCCGTTATACGTCGCCGGATCAATCTTAAGACCAGCGCCCCTTCTACGCGAGCCTCGTACACTGATCATGAACCCCCGTGTCCCTCGAATCCGTGGACTAGGGATAAGGACCCCCATACACTTGTCTCGGATGGATGGCCACCCGTGTCTTCGCTCAAGACGGCAATCTGCAACACTGTTAGCTTCTGGACCGAGAATGGCGAGCAAATACGTTCAGCGTGCCAGCACATTGCTAGCCATCTCGTCGTAAAAACTCCAGAATACACCTCGGAGACGATATTGCCACTTTCCATAGGAAACGGATACCTGCTGGGGACATGCGAGGCTCTGGCTATTGAGCAAGCACAGTTAGAACAACAGCGATGTTGGGAGTACGCACGGTCACCTCACGTGATGCAAATCCCAGAACTTCCTATTCAGCAGACATACCCTCAGTGCTTCGCGTCTGACTGGCAGGTGGAACAACACGTTCCACTCCAGCCCACGCAAATGCCAGGTCCATGTCATGAAGTGGTTCCGTATCAGGAACAACAACGGAATACCTTTTACGAGCAGCATCATCAGCTTGCGCTCTCAGGACCGCCGCCGATCAACACCGAGTTGTCGTTCTATAGTCCTTATCCTCAGTCCGACTTCAGAGCGATAGATTTAACGCAGCATCATAACACGCATATGGACTTCCACGTCCCAGAACGGCCCATGGACGGGTCATCGCACGCATTTCCCGTTCAAAAACAGCGCGCAGCTCACTCAGCCTTGGAATCGACCCCTTGGCCTGTATTGGGGTCGTTGCTTCCTGCCCCACAGGAGCAGTTCGCCTTTAGGCCATTCGATTACGGTCCCCAGTTCGAGTTTTCTGAGGAAGCGCCAGGGCAGACGGTGTCAGGTTTTTCCTCTCCTTGTACTCCACCTCTGCCCATACACCGGGGGGCACCCGAGATGGCCTGTGCCGTTGATAGATATGTAAATGGTGCTATAGTAGGCGTAACCCACGTCACGGCGCAGGAAGGGACCTCACTGCCATCCTCTCAAGTCATATCGCTCACAGAACCTGTTCCCACTCCCGTGCCAACGCGGTCCACACAAACAATTCCATGCACACCAGACCATTCTTATCCTCGCCCTCATCACCATCAACCGCCTGCCATAACCATATCTCCCTCATGTCCAAAGCCATTCCAGGGTTTCAACGCGACTGAGACGTTCACATTCAACGTCGTGCCAGATACCGCGGTGCCTCACTTTGACTTTGACCTTTCGCTTCGCGTATCGATGGATTTGCCGCCGGCCCCGTGTTCCCCTGACGACGCTGCCGCTGCAATTGATTGTGGAGTTGGTGCTTGGAATACGACCATTAGGTCCATACAAGACGTTTCCTCTGTTACGAATGCGAATACGAATGATGCGTGGAAGCATGCTCCTGCTCCTGCTCCTGTTGTTGAGTACCCGTCTTCGGGGTCTCTGCCTCTTAACCGGAGTATCCATCATACACACCAGATGCTCACTGAACAGCCATTCCACCAACCGCGGGAGGTCATATTGTCTTCGTCTCAGAATTTTCTTTCTGCAGTGTCTGCGCCAGTCGAGGCAACAGACGACGATAGCCCCACGCTAGAGGCTGTTGGAAAAGGAAAAGAGATCACAGACGCGAAGATGGACGTAAATGGCGATGACGATGGTGATAGTTCGGACTCGGACTCATCTTATTCGGATTCGGATTCTGACTCGGAAATGGATTCGGATTCGGATTCGGATTCTGACGACTCGGATTCTGAATCGTCTGATGATGAAATGAACTCCTCTAATGCCAAA